CTTTAACCGACGAAATTAATATTCCGCATGCGAGAGAGAGAGAGAGAGAGAGAGAGAGAGAGAGAGAACGCGATGCGCACCAGTGCGCCTCACTTGCGAGTGCGCGCAGATGCGAAGCGGAAATGGAGCCGTGGGTGCTTGGCGTGCATTCGAAAATATTTGCAAGCGCGTTCCAAATCAACAATGCCAATGGCAACCTCGACACGCGGGAGTATCAATGGCAAGGCACTCGATAATGAGGGCTCTAAACAGCGCTGGGAATAGGGCTTCTGTGTCCGTCGTTAATGAGACCGGCTGTGCCGTCACACCAGCCGAGAAAGACAGGGTTCAAGCTCGTCGACGACATGGATTGAGTGGCTGACTCTGTGCGCGGATTGATTGATCATTCATCACCGTGCGTTTTTGACTAATGAAAATAATCTTTGTCTGCCGAGTTGAATCTGGTCGAGGTTCTGAAAAAATGGACTTTATTTCAGTATATGTGTGCGCGCGCGAGTGTATGTGTGTATACATGTGTGCGCGTAGACTCATACAAATAGAATTTATTACCACATCGATGCGATTCGGAAAACCTATAAATTTGTTACGGATAGTGGTATCTTCTATTGCCAGCCTTCACCGATAAATGGAATATCAAATACGCATCTGTGCGCTTCCACTCTTATTCGCTTTCAGATGCCGATGACATACGCTTGCGTGAATCAGCGCCAGTGCGTCAGTTAATTTGTTGAAATCTTTCGTATTAACAAAGACAAATTTCTAAAGAAACAGTCGGCGAATCTACTTTAGTCAAAGACAAATAAGAAGAAGACAATAGTAGGTATGAAACAGCTGAGGTGCCTTTGTAAGCTGCTGCCGTCGGTCTACTGTGATATGAACGAAGATTTGATTGATCATTTACCAGCTTACAAACTTTTTCTTTAACTTTTTCGTTTATTTTATGGAAACAAAAGCAATTTATTCATCGCTCGGAATGTAACCCCTCCTTCCTTTTTTTTCTTTTCTTTTGAAAGCTTTGTCTTCAAGGATTGAATTTGTTGTCTCATCGACGAAGTAAAAGTAAAGTTTTCCATAAAATTTAAGCTTTTATCTGACTAAAACAGAAGCGCAAGTTATACAAACTGGTTTATTTGGCATGAGATATCAAATTCGTTAGATGCTTTAATTAACGAATTCCAGCAATTGAAGTTTTTGAATGTTATTTAGTTTTCGATTGAATGAGCACGCTGCGTAATTCACCACGGAAGTTTTCATGTTCTTTTTTTCAAACCCGAAAACCTTTTGTAAGTTACACGGCTATTGATTTTCATATCAAGCAACATCACGCTCCGTTTGATTAATGCGATGAGTCAAGGTTTCCATTAACATCGCTCACCCTATGGTTTGCGGTGAATTACGCGGAACGATATACTTATTAGAGGAAAAAAACAAGTAAAATGACTTGGAGAATCGACCGAGCGAATGAAAGTGTTATTTCGTGGAGAAGCAAACTGGATACAGAGAAGTCTATCTGTATGGCTGTACAGAAGCATTGGCACAGTTATCGTCTCGCAAAATTAATCATCACTCTGACAATTCATAAAATTAAATATGGATCACGTCGCTGAGTCATTAAAATGTTGTTGCAGGTGATTCTCCGCCGATGTCATCATTATCTAACCTCGACTTTTTGCGATATGGAGAGGAAATTAATAACTCCATTGGCTGCGAGGAAGGTTATCAGCCAAAAAGAGTGATAAAGAAAAGGAATTTCATCTAGCGACCGACTAAAAAAAAAATGAACTACCAAGTGAGAAATGGAGGACGGTCGCGCGTGACAACAACCCGACTTGCGCTTACAGCTTGACTAATTGAGGTTTCCCGTGTGCGTGTACGCGCGCGCGTGCGTGTATGTATGCGTGTGTTAGTTTCTTTGCTTACGTCTGATTGCTTTATTTCCTTAGTGTAAAGGAGAGAGAAAAAAAAATTCTTCTCAGGGCGCGGCCGCCGATTCAGTAGTACGAGTCTACTTTTGGTCGGACAAGTGAGACATGTACCACGGACGGATGTCGTTGTAATGGAATTGTTTTCAATGATAAATATCGTACGGTACTTATTATTTTAAGTGACTTATGAGGACCTTTTCACGTCTGTAGTGCTTAAAAATATAAGCAGAGCTACTTTGTTTATTAAATAAATCAGTAAAAGAAGATACGATAAGAAGACTAATTCTCCTGTTTGGGATGAGAATATTCCAGATCAACGAAAATGCCTCTTTTTTAAACTAAAATATCCCTTTCACCGATTCGCTAAAAATAAATGTTTACCTCCGTGAAAAGCGCTCGTTAAAAGGAATCGAAGAGGATTGGCCTACTTCCGAAATTTCAGCAATCTTTCTATCCATTCGCGCGAGAAAAAAAACTGTTGCCGCACCACATAGCTTATCACTAATTTTCGCGAGAGGCGATATGTATTGTACATCATCCGGCTAGAAAACCACACAAAAAAAAATAAATCCAACAGCGAGCAAATGCGATAAGTAAAGAGAGGGGGAAAAAGTTGCCTGGATTTGCGATTTAACGCAGAGAAAGATCGTCAGCTTTGACAAGTGTACGATTTTTTTCGTGCTCGTCCTCACGAGAAAGGATTCGACGAACCGAAGCCGAGGGGAAAAAGTATAAAAAGAAGTCGCGTCACTCGCTTCCTCGCGGAAAGATTATAACGAAAGGCTTGGGGCTTTAATTGAAAGCCTACTTTAGCCATGGCCCATTAACGTAATCAGTCCTCCCTTCCCAAAGCTCTGTTTAGAGACTCGCAACGAGCGATCCCGACGTAATCAAATTTACCCGATTGCCTGATATTACCGTCGTTAATTTGCTGCCGTTTCGTGATAATTTATTCGCTTGACGCTACATTTCTACTTGGTCATTGGGTTTCTCCCAAATTTTTAAACCGCTTAACACGACTGATTAATAATAATGCAGAGCAGATGTGTGAAACTGGCTTATCGCTATTTAATCGAAGCAGGGGCACCGAGATCATTTCCATTATTCATTTGCGATAAAATAAATGCGTTTTGCAATTTGCCGGTTAAAAATTAATACAATCGTGGAAAATAAATTTTGTTATTGTCCTTAGAATGATGTGCGGGCATTCCAATATAATGAGTAGAAGTTACAAAAATGTCTAATTGAAATGAAACGTCATAGCGTCAATGTCTCAGAGAAAGTAAATAATGATAACGAATGGAGTCCAGATGGTACAGAAATAACAGCGCTTATATTGATAAAATTCAGTACATCTTTAGTAGCATATTCTGTTATAATTCAAAAGAGCGATAGGAAGGTCAGCATTTCCAATAATCTCAATTGCTGACATACAAATATCACTTGCTTTCTTTCCATTCGCCGATCGATGACGAAGGCAACGCAAAAAAGTGGCTCTTCGCCACTGTCAAACAACGAGCATGGCAAAAACACAATCTCGACCGGCAAATTTATCAGTCGAAAAAAGCTGTCTAACGTAATAATGGATATCATTGGGCCCTCGAGAACGAGCCAAATAGCTGACGTCGGGAGTCTCATCGGTCGTCGACTTATTTTCGCGCGAACAAAGGCACCATCGCTATTCTTATCTTCTTTTTTTCAATCTCTTGAGCGTTTTGTGTGTCGAAGAAACACAAAATGCTCGATAATTTTACGCTCCACTGCGTCGAGAACAAATTGTTTTTAACCTTACGAATTGAATTACTGGGAATGTCCCAGAGTCGTCGGCGGTGTAAGCTCGGGTTTCTGCTTTTTTTCTTTTTATTTTAATGGACGCCTTTTCAGCTTTCAAGGGGGTTAAAATGTGTGTACTCTTTTTTCCAATCAACGAAACATGATACCTCGAATGTGAGTGAAGCATCGCAAGGCCGCGCGCGAGGAATTGTTATTACATCTTGCGGCATCGATATCGAACGCGGCGATAACAATAATAATGCAGCCGCCCGGTAGAAATAAAAGAACGCATAATGCATTTGATTGCTACGTCAGCTGGAACAATAGATAATCAAGTCTCGCTCACTGAATTCAATTCAGCGATATTAAATAGTATTGGTTGGCCGCATAACGTCGCGCGAATCGCGGGAACTACTTGTCGTTCTATGTGTCTGTGATTTGTTATCTTAATATTCCACAATTTTATTCGCGCTCGATAAAGCGTTCTTTTGAAAATACACTTTACGCTTTTAGCGCTGATGGACGAATATTTGCGCATTCGTTGCTTGTCAAAGTTATGTCAAAAATTCGAATCTCATTGTAAGTCATGTTATGATTAAGATTTCAACGATGATCTAGCATTTTTCAAAAATTTTTAATTACATAAAGTATCTTGAATGAATGATTGAAATCCACGCAAGAAGCAAACGAATTGAAATTTTTTTACGAATAACTTATTTTCAAACAAACGGATTGGATAACTCTAGAATATTGGTAGACTTAATGTGTCAAGAATTATTTTGATTATATTTTTGAATAATAGTGCTGAGTCTCAATAACTGCTAATCAAAAGCTCATGGGACAGCATCCTTCAAGATACTTTCATTTCTATACAAAAGAAGGCTAAGTTTGCGAGCGAAATCCATGGCACAGAGAATATGGCTCCCTTTGCCGTAATAACAACTTTTACGAAAATAATCAAAACATACAAGTAAAAGGTGGAAGCATAATAAGTAGCAGGAGTAAAGAGTATTTACGATTTTCATGCATTAATCAAACTTCGAAATGTTTTCTTCCGATTTCATATAATTATTATTAATATTTATATCATTAAAAATCTTCTAGTTAAATTTATTTAAACTGACAACTCAACTTAAAGCTATGAAAATGATTCACCAATCGTGTAAAACTCATGCAGTCTTTTGTAATCGTATAGAAAGGGCGCGCGAAAAAAGAGCTTTGTCGACGGAAAAATTCGAGCGAAAAACCTTGGAAAATTAAAGACAAAGAGTAACAAGAGATCACGCGCCAATGTTCACTCACCGGCAGTTGCGTGCGTGTGCGGATGCGCTCGATCAACCGGCAATGATCGTCGAAGCAGCGAGTGCGGAAGACGATCGCTTGGCGAGTTGAGGCGACATCGTGCAAGCTAATTGGCTCGTTCTCCTCGGAAAGAAAAGCCGATATGGGTCGTGCGTCTTTATCGCTAGGTATTCGGAGCAACGAGGCGCATGTGTGTCGCGATAGACGCTTCCACTCCGACTAACGGCTTGGCCTCGGCGCCCCACGAGGAGCAGCCAGCACTTGCTCGCCCGAGGGGCGCACGCGCGACGCCCAGGTAGCCGCCGTTACTCGCTTTTTCGTCTCTTTCCATCCCTTATCTGCGAACGGAATTCCGACTTGCGATAAACGGCTTTTGTTGCAGGCTAAATGACGACGGATAGTCGAGATAAATGGCTGCGAGAGTCTTTTCTCCCCTTTCGCTTTTTTTGCCGTTACACGCGAGAGCAAGATCGATTTCATTGTTTTTCAAATGGCAGGTGGTAGCGACGACAGTTGGGCATTATCGTTTGCTCGCTCTGATCATTGCGTTGAATGACCATGAAGAGCTTAGAGTTTCCATAGTTTTAACCAATTTGCAGTTTTAACTCAGGGTAGATCTACTGTTGAACGTGAAGTAGCTCTTCGACTGGCTTGAATTTCATTCGTAATTGATTTTGCTATTGAGTGCTCTAGATTTCAATTGCGATGGAATAAAAGACGTAATAGTTCTATTTACTGCTTGAAATTATTTTCAATCGATCGTAAATTGTTTAAGAAATCCTACTTGTCTTAAAATGTGCATATAATACTCTTCTTATGTTTTTTTACAACCTTTTTCTGCATTTCATGTCAGCCGACAGTATTATTTAATCAAAACTTAAAAGCTCGCAAAGTTTTCTGGAAATTTTTCATTTGTAATCCGTGAAAAAAGAATTCTTTACTTTTCGAGTGCATGTTTAAGTGATCCTATTTCCAGTTTCTTATGAAAAATAATTTTTATGCCACTGTAAACGGAACCAAAGTATCGCGACAGATTGAATCGAAATGCATAAGACACGGCATGCATAAGATCCAAATTAGCCGCTTCATAAAATTGGGGTAGCGATTCATAGTGGAAAAGGGGAGAGCGCGCGCAAAACAGTCTGTAGGTAGCCGAGTTAAAAGCTCTCGCTCTAAACTGAAACTCCACAAGGAAACACCAGCACCAGCAGAAAATCTCTACTTAACTTTAAGAGGTTCCGCGATGTTTTTTCGCGTCACGTTCAAGTTTTATCTACACCCTTCGAACTGCCTGTGTATAGCAGTACCCCTGTCGCCTGTCGCTTTATTCAATGTTCCGGATACTCTAACGTTGCCTTTTCTTGCTCGAGTAAAAGATAGAAAAAGAAAAAGAGAGAATGTACAAGCGTGTACTTATCTGAAAACGCAATCCGGCTTTGTTTTTCCAACGTGCACTTTAGCTTGGCGTGCACCAACTGGCTGACCGAATCAACATCTCTTCCACTTGAAAGAGTGTAGCACGAAAAGATTAAGCGACGCCCATACACGAGGATCGAACGCATTGAGCCACTCAAAATTCAAAAGATAGCACTGTGCAAGTTTATAGCGACTCCAACAGACTTGAGAGCGGGCGGAGAATCCTTTAATTATGTAGATGTACGAGCTTGACCGAACTATCTCTCGCTATTCTACTCTTGCTACCGAGAGAGGAAAACCAGGGGAGGAGATGTTCCCTCTCTCTGTAGAGGATATTTACGGCTGGAGTTCCTTTGCGATGCTCATTCGCTAACGAGCCAACACTAATTACAGGTATTTACAACGCTGTTTATCTGCCTTACTATGTGACTCTGCTTTCACGCTGTTTCTGCCGGGATTACAAAGTTTAATTTCAAGGATTTGCTTGGACTAACTTCTTCCATCGACATGGAATACTGCGCATTCACGTCTGACCATTCACTTTTTTCAAGTCATCATCCATACGGAATTTCCCGTCCGATAATATCGTCATACGAATTATCCGAAGTGTCTAATTATTGATTATCATCGAGAAATGAATGTCGATATAGAGCATTCCCGCGGAAATTGAATATCCTGGCAACGAGATAAACAAGAATGCCGAGCCATCGAAGACGGATCTATTTGCATCCATCGCGGGGGCAGCATTTCTACTATCATATTTCTAGATAGCTTTGATGTATATTTTTTTTGGCTTCCCCTCTCACCCCGGTTGTATTCTAACCTTATCCACTTGTTGCCAAGGTAATATTTCACTTTTTCCGTGCCTCATACGCGCCTGGCTAACTCATGTGTTGTTTATTTATTCGCCAAAAGGGGAGCGATAGGCTTATTGAAGCGACGGAAAAACTAGAAAACTCTTGCTCACCAGGGAGATACGACGTGGTTTTATTTTTTCGTACCTCGGCGTTCCCTTGTGCATTGCGTGAGTGAAAAAAATTGAAAGTTTCCATCGCACTATAACTAATCCATCACCCATCAACTAGGATTATAAATTATCGACAGGTTTTCCGTTTCTCACAACAGCGCGCCTCGGTGTGTTTTCCTGTTTACAAGTATCGATTTACTTGAAATGACCGCAGGTATTGTGTATTTACCATGTATGTTGGACGCATGTCGCGAGCTACGGATTGAATGACCTCGAAAGCAATTTTTAATGTAATTACGCAACATATGAAAAATGAAGAGGGTAAGCAGCACGCGCTCGAATTCTTCAGGCGTTTGCGACTAATCAAATAATTGCAATTATGTGAAGGTCGATGTGTAAATACCGACAGTCACGAAATACAATAGACAAATCAACGAGCGCTCATTTATTGTTAGTTTTTTTCATTGTTCCGAGCAAAAAACAAGCGTGCTTTCAGTACGCATTATTGATTTGAGCCTTTTCAGCCAAAGAAGTCTATATCGATTAAACAAATGTTCCTTATCGCGTGCAAGAGCTTATGAGAAATATTTACTTATGAGAAATATCAACGATAATCATTAAAATTTGATGATTATCGTTTGCGTTTATACAATTTCATCGTAAAAACAACGCAGGATCGCAAAACAAACGACTTTGCCGAACGGTCCAGCAATTTTTCAAGGATCGTATCGCGCGTTCACAGCAAAAGAGGTCATCTGGAGAGCGCTTTATTAATAACCAACGCGCGGATGGTAAATAAAGCGCAGTAAAAGAACGTGTCCGAGATAGCTGCAGACACGGAAGCCAATGAATGTTTGAGACGTCCTTCTGCGTCTCCTTCGCCCTTGGCTACTAGTCTCTTTTTGGACTCGTGCGCTCGATTGTTTTTCAAACGCGCCTCATTGCCGAATAGCTTCTCCCTGCGCGCCCGTGTAATCCATTGCTCGTAAACTGGGTTTGCAGATGAAGAGCAGGTATGAATGATGAGAACGTTTAGCGTCTCTAACTGTGCGCTCTGTGCGTTCTTAACGAGCAAAGGAGGCTTTACTTTGATTGTATCTGATTAGAGTACCTAACCGTGGACCTCGTTCACTATTTTTTACGGAATTCCATTTGAACAAATGCCGGTGTTAATCGTCTATAGAGAGATTCCTTAATTTGTCGTTATTTTGCCGTGAAAAGTGTTATAATATAAGTGATTAATATTAACAATTTTGTAATACTAGTTGTAGTTCTAAAGGTGGTTACTTTGAAAAAGTAAGTAATCAGATTTGTTTTATTCATAATTCGATATCTCAGTAAATGTAGAATTATGAACGTTGGGTAAAACTTAAGTTAAAAATTGCCAGCAGTTATTGTGATCTTTGACATATATAGATTATTTTCAATCTTATAGATTTTTCATTATTCATTACCAAGCAAAATTTTTTATTAACATTTTCAAAAACAAGGCAGTCGCGTTGTACTCAGGTGCTAATGCAACAAAAGTATGGAGCTCAATTTCTCCAGTGTGATACGAGTAATACGCGACGGTAATTTGCGATAACTAATTTTTGTTATTCCGTGGAAAGGAAAAAGTCTAAAAGTGCCATTCGTAATTCCGAATCCAAAGCATTGGAATGAGGCCAACGCACAAATAAAAAAGAATACAATTAAGCGCTTAACAAATCGAACAATACGCGCAATCCTTTTGAAAAGAAACACAAAGAGCTTAATGAGGCAAATATATATACCTGCGGAAAAAATCAGCCTTGATGCGAAACTGTAAAAATGAGAGTCTAGCGGCAAGGAAGGGGGATATGAGAAAGATTAATAGGCCAGATTGTTACGCGCTGAGTTATCGTATCCATATTTCAATCCCGGGCCCCACACGCATGTATATCCTCCGCATTTATCCCCGCGCGGTTCTCGCAAAAAATAGCTATAGCCGTCGACGAGACACTGCGTTACGCAGCGCAGAAATGAACACAGGCGAGCGTGCCGTGCGCGGGATGAAGCGAGACGACGAGTCGCGACTGACGGTGAAAGACGCGAAGCTCTCGCGAAGCAAAGATGGAACGCCGCGTGCACACTGGGTTCATCACTTTGGCGGAGAGTCCGTGTGTGCGATACACGCATCACGGCAAGCCTCACAGTCCGCGGAGTAATCCGATTACGCGGTTACGAGTGGCAAAGCTCTCGAGCGATCGTGAAACTCGATAAGCCATGTTGCGCGCAATGCTACGTCTTCCTCTCTCTTTCTCCCCGCGTCGCGCGACCGACCAATCGGTTAATCCGATGACGACATTGGCGAGAGCTTCGCGTCGCGGTGGTCAAGGAGCTGCCAACGCGTGGGCGACGCCCCGACTAAGGACCAGCGATTTGATTAGTACTGTCGGGGACCGCGCTGACGTTACGGTCTACGCCCGGCTACTACAGACTATGCTTGCACCGAGCTCGCTTCGTCTTTTCCCATCGTGGACTATCGGATGGATCGCGGCAAAAAGACCAATTGGACAATCGTGTCTCATCTTTCGACGGCACGAACTAGATGCAAACGGAGTGGGTTATGGCGTTTGGCCGCGCTCCTGGGCTTCGCTAGTCGAGAAGCCCATGAAACGTCGATCAAGTCCGATAGTCAGTTTTGGATTCCGTGACTATGCGCAACAGTTGATCTAGAGAGACAATTTCTTTGACCCCGAAAAGAGGACCCGTCCTCTCCCATGATTATGGCTTCTCGAGCGCTGTTTTCGCGCGCCCCGCAATATTCGTGTTCTCGTTGGTCGAGAGCTAATTCG